GCGTCTGCCCTGCTGCTTCCCTGCTGCTCCTGGCTTTCTTCCCTTCTTTTCTGCTAATTGTATGCCGAAGTTTGGCCATTTACATTCCTTTGAGCTGTAAATTCCTTAGGTTAAGGGGGAGCTCGGAATTCAGCGTCCGACTTAGCACATGCGTGCCTCTCCCGCTTCTGGTTTATTGTTGGTGGAGTAAATTTGGGTTTTAGTTTTTTGGCTGAGGGAGGCTGGGTTTGCAGCTCCAGCTAGGGAAATTGCCAGAGATTTGGAGAGGAGAGGGAGTTCCGCAGGGATGTGATGCCATAGAGTCTGCCCTTCGAAGCTGCCACTTCCTTCAGGGACATGGATTTTTTAAAGTATGATGACTAATAATCATTTCATTTCTATATCACCCATAGCCGAAGCTTTCTGGGCAGTTTACAACAAATATAAAACAATAAAATACAATAGATAAAAACATTAAACATTAATTTAAGATAAAACGTTAATGAATAGACCTGACCCAAAAAGATCTGACCCAAAGTGAGAGAGAAACACCTGGATTAGTTGTAATTCTGGGGGAAACCTGGGCTGTGCTTGGAGGCTGGTGACCTCAGAGGGATATGTCTTCTTTTTAAATTGAATCGTTATTTTAAAAGCTGCTTGGTGGCCCTGGGCATGTCCTCCTGCTCCCCACAAAAAAAATTGCTGTGTTAGCAAACTTAACAAGGAACTGACTAAACCATGTCAGAGATCCAGAACTGGTATGCAGTTAGGTTTAGCAACTCTATTGCCGATTTTCACCATGCCTGCTGCCACTCCAAGCAGGAGAAAAAGAAAAACTGCCACCAGACTCTGTGTTGATATGTCACCATCAGGTACAACCCAGAAGTGGAAACAGGCACCTTTAAGAAGACCAACAAAGTCTTATTCAAGGTATAAGCTTTCATGTGCTTGCACACGTCTACAGATACTTTGCCTCTGCTCTCTTATTCTTGTAACTTTCCTCTAAAGACTTTTCAGTTTATCTGCCTTTTTAAAACGTGAACTCTACCTGCTCTCTGCTCTGTTTTGGGAAGAAATTCAAGGGCGGATCCTGAGTACAGGGATGGAAATGTCACAATTGAGCTGGTAAAAGTGATATCACTGTGTCAGTAAAGCTCTAGGCATTTCCCTAATCTCTGTGGTCAATGCCATAGAGATCTGGGGAATTACCTGAATGCCATGGAACCCATGATGTCACTTCCACCCACTCAACTGGGAGTGATGGCACAGCATTAGGCCAGTGTCCACCTCACCCTGCTTCTTCCTCCTGCTGCTCCACAGAGCTGGTACCCATATTCTCAACAAAGCAATATAATTGTTTTAGACATGTCGGCACAAGTAAATTGGGGGATCACAAGACCTCCTGTTTTGCCCTGTACTCGGTCTTCTAGTTTTCCACCCATCCTGTAGCTTCTTGTACAATTAGACACGATTCAAGGAGCTGGTTTAAAAATCCTAAACAGCTTTGGCCTTCACACTTAAAGAATCCCTTCTCTTGCCCCTCTGAGACAACAGCAGCCCTGTTGCTCTGTGGCAGGCCTGAGCAAAATGGCAACCAGAGGTGCGTGTTCTTGGTGGTTGGCCCCCCTAACAATATTCTTCCAGAGGCCCACCAAGCAGTGAGGGCCGTGCCAAGAACTCCAATGCATTCCTTTGCAAAGAGCAGAAGGCCCAACCAATGCTCCCTCTAAGCTGTGGAGTCTTGTGAGCAAAAATTCTACCCTGTGAGCTGCTGGTATTAAAGTTGCGAGCGAGCGATTTGGCTGCTGCCTAAATTAGTTTGCTCTGGAGCCACCCCTCCTGAGCTGAGACAAAAATGCGTCAACCGGAGGCTAGAAGACTGTGAGCCAGCTCACACTAACTCAGCTTAGAGGGAACACTGGCCCCAGCTGCTCACAGGAAAGAGAAGAACAATGGCTTTGGGAAGCCCAGTGTGCAAGCAGGGCCCTAAAATTGTTTCCCTTCCCCGCTGTCCCCCTCCCACCCTCTCCTTGTGCAGGTGGAATCCACGCAGCTGAACCTTCTGTGGGTGTCTAGGGGAAGCAATGGTCTCCCAAATGGGAGAACTCCGCTTCTCAGCCTTGCTGTCCCTCCGGAGCACGGTGGAGCCTAGAGGGGAGCTGTTCTCCTCCCTGAACCTTGCCTTGGAAAAGCTGGGCCTGGAGCCGCCCTGCGTAAGAAACAACGCTCGGCTCACCATCGCTGCCGATCAAACCCTGATGGAGTGGGTCTCTGGAAAGGGCAGTTGCGAGATTGTGATCTTCCACAGTCAAGGCAAACCCCACTATCACATCTGTGCATCTGAGTGGGAGCAATACCTCTCCCACCTCTGCTCCCAATCCTACCCCCTGACCCTCGGCAACCTCCTTAGGACCCGTAGCCAGCTGCGCTTTGGGAGTTTGTCGGGCAAGACTCCGTCCTTGGCTTGCTTTGACCGAGCCGTGAAAGGCTTCTTGATGGAACCCAATGCCGTCAAGCAAGATGCCCAAATGCTGGTGGAGTGTGAAGGGCAGGTGGTGGAATTCATCTCCGGGCAAGGGTCGTGTGAGATCTCCGTCTTCCTCTCAGCGGACAATGCTCCTGAATACAATGTCCAAGTGAAGAGCTGGCTCATGTTCCTAGAGCGTCTCCGAGCAGGGATTGTGCCGCTGAACCTGGAGAACATCAAGATGGTGAGGGATAAGCTAGGGAGCTGGAAAGAAGACCTCAGTCGCTGCTTCGATGTGGCCTTGTTAACCTTCGTCAAGGAGCCCAGATGCATCCAGGAGAATGCCAAGCTGGTGGTTGTGGCCGGTGGGGAAACAATTGAACTGATCTCTGGGAAAGGAGAGAATCAGATCACGCTGTTCCACTCCGAGGATGGGGTCCAGTACCAGGTCTCCACGAGGGGGTGGTGGGAGCTGATAGCCAGGAGCCTGAACAAGAAGGAAGGCTGAACTGAAGCACAGACAACAGCAGAACAGCAAAAGGCCATTTGGACCTTTTGCCACGTGGGTGATTTTTGTTGAGAAGTGGGTTGCCCCCCCCCCCCTGCATTTCCCCACAGAATCAAGGTATACTCCTTTACCTCCCGGGCCTTGGTCTTGTGGTCTGTCACAGGTACCAACATTCTAGGCTTTGCTTATTGTGAAGTTTTGTAACCTTTAGCTTAACGCAGGGACCAGTCTTGAATTGTCAAATCATTATGGGTTAAGATGGACTCTCACGCGATGCTGGATTATGCTCTTCCAGAAGTGACTTCAGAATATAGCCCTTTCTACCAAAGCACTGCCTCAAACTTGTTCTTCTCCCTCTGCCTTCTTGTTGCATTAAAAAAAGAAAAACTTCAGAAGGAAAACCTGGTGCTTTTCATTTGTGTGTCGCTACCCCCCAACCTTGCGTGAGGCTATATCAGAGCAATGTTCCTTCTAAGCTGTGGAGTCTCGTCAGCAAAAATTCTACTTTGTGAGCTGCCGGCATTAAAGTTGTGAGTAAGCGATTTGGCTACTGCATAAATTAGTTTGCTCTGGAGCAATATTCCCTCTAAGCTGTGGAGTCCTGTGAGCAGAAATTCTACTTTGTGAGCAACTAGCAATTCAATTCAAATACCTTTTATTGGCATACAATATTAGAAGCATTTACCAATAATACAATCCAAAAGAAATTATAAAATAGATAGTCGTGGCTATGTCAGGCCTAACTCAAGTTGTCACAAGCTAGATTTGACCATACAAAAGATGCCTGAATCATAAAATAATTTGGCATTCTAAACTTTTAAACTTAAGTTTTTAGACTTATAAATTAAGAATCATTAATATGATCAGGGTCACTCTTCCGTTTTATAAAACCATGGAGAAACTTATCGGTCAGTTCAATGATCTCCGGATCTCGTGAAGCAAGGAGAAATTGTACCTTGATTCTATCCGATTGGCCTGCTACCAACCTAAGGGGGGCTTCTATAAATTCCACTCGAATGTCATTTAACAATTTACAGTGTAAGAGTATGTGGTGAGCAACTAGCATTAAAGTTGTGAGTGAGCAGTTTGGCTACTGCATTAATCAGTTTGCTCGGGAGCCCTCCTTCCTGAGCTAAGACAAAAATGTGTGAGCCGGAGGCTAAAAAATCTGTGAGCTGGCTCACGGTAACTCAGCTTAGGGGGAACACTGAATCACAGGCTATCGGTTTTAGTCCTTGGTGGCATGCCCTGGGTGTGGATGGCCCAGGCTAGCCTGATCTCATCAGAGCCAGTCCTGGTGAGTATTTGGTGGGAGACCTCCAAGGAAGTCCAGGGCTGCTGTGCAGGGGCCAGCAACAGCAAACCTGCCTCTGTTCGTTTCTTGCCTTGAAAATCCCTACAGGGCCGCTCTGAGCCAGCTGTGGCGTGACAGCACGTTACACCTTTGTTGGTCTTAAAGGTGCCATTGGACGCTACATTTGTTTAAAAATGTCCTCCACAGTCCTTCGGGGCCCCCCTTCTCTTGCCCCCACCTCCCTACAGAATTTGGAAAACAAAGATCTGGTCTTACACAATAGTCGAATCAACACTGTCCACTAGCTTGGATTTTAAAACGTTCCGCACTCACCCAGTATTGGCAAGAGAGGAGGAACTAGCCTATAAGAAAGGGTCCTCCTGAAGCCACATCCGCCCTCACTTCGCGCCTTGTTTTATGCATTCCCCCGTGAAACTAGACTCTACAGGAAGCGTCCTCTTCTGCCTGCAGGTATTAAAAGTTGTTTTAAAGACAGCTCCTTCAGGCGCTTTACATACCTAACCTCAATCATCATTGCAACAACCCAGCAGAGTTGGGTACAAGGGTGAGAACGAGCGGGTGCTGTCTCTCTGTCCTAGATAATAATTTCTTTTCTGGTTCTAGCTCAGATTTCCCACTCGAGCCCTAAAACACTGCGCACCAAGTATGGGCAAACAAAAAAAATCGCACCACTTTAGCTAGTTAAATGAAGTCACATCCGCCCGCAACTCAGCGTGTTCTGTTTTCCTCTTCCCCTATGAAAATCTCCCTGACCAACGTCGATGTGTGTTATTTTGCGTGGAGGCTTCATAAGGTAATAATCATTAAGAGGGATTTGGGGGAGAGGAAGGTTTTTTGGAAAAGTCAGCTAGGGAGGGAGGGAGGAGGTTATTATTTGTTTAAAGTCCCACCTTCCTAGGAACTCAGAGTACGGTTGCCAGGTCTGCGTTGGAAAATACCTGGAGACTTTGGGGGTGGATCCAGGAGACGGCGGGGTTTGGGGAGGGGAGGGGCCTCAGCATGGTACAATGCCATAGACTCCACCCTTCCAAACAGCCATTTTCTCCGGGGGAGCTGATCTCGGTCAGCTGAAGAAGTGCAAGATCTCCAGGCCCCACCTGGAGGCTGGCAACCCTAGCTCAGAGCACTGTACTTGGTTCTTCCCTCCTCCGTTTTATCCTCACAACAACCCTGTAAGGTAGATTAGGCTGAGGAAGAGTGACGGGCCAATCAACATGCTTCTTGGCGGGGGGGGATTTGAGATTCTAATCTGACGTTATGCTGTTGTGTGACTGGTTGGGCTATATGGGAGAAGATATGAGGAACGAGCTGAGAATAAGAAGTAGAGAAAAGAGAAACTGGGACAGGCCTCCTTGGGATTGACGGGGAGGGTATTGAGGAGGAGGGTCTAGTGGACGGCTGAGGAACAAGAGGGAAATGAATTATTGACTTAATACTACTGGAAGATGTTTGTGTGACATGCAGGAATCGCGGCTAGAAAAATTAGAATGGGAAAATTATAGGACTTTTTGAAACACTTATTGAAGGTTTGTTCAGACGAAGAGACGAAACGGAACTCAATCCGGAGGTCCTCGTCAACAGCCACAATAACTTCATAATAATTACGATAACTTCATGTATCTTAAAAATCACAATTATTGCATGTATCTGTATTTATTGTCACAATAATGTTATTTACAGTTACACATTGAGATCAATAATATAACTGATACAATGTTTGAATATATTTAGCGTCTTGTATGCCCGTCTGTTTATTACATGTTTAGTAAACGCCAAGTAGAGTCTGGGGATCCCTCGCAATTACAGCTCATCTCCTGACTACAGAGATCAGTTCCCTTGGAGAAAATGAATGCTTCGGAGGGTGGGCTCTATGGGATTATACCCTGCTGGGGTCCCTCCCCAGATCTCCAGGACTTTCCCAACCCAGAATTGGCAACCTCAGGTGCTGGGATCTTGTGGTATGGCGATCTGTCCCCTTCCTCCCACATGTAATTAATGCTAAACCTGTATCTTCCCCACAGCCTGTCCGAATCCTGCCTTTTGGACTAAATGCCTGTCTTCATGGCATCGGGGTACCAGCATCGCCTGTGGCGCTACGTAGATGCGGGTCGCCGCCGCAAGCTGCGCAGGCTACTGCGGCGTCACAGGCAGGCGCTGGACCTGGGTGAGGTCGTGGGGCACAAGAGCCGGACCCCCCTGCACCGATCCTGTGCCCGGCAGGACCACAAGACTGCCCTCCTCTTGATGAAGTATGGAGCGGACCCCGTCCTTTTGGATCAGCGTGGAGACACAGCCCTGCACGTAGCTGCTCGGCAAGTTGTGCGCAAAGGAGGCACTGGTGAGACACGACACTCGGATGGCATCTCAGTCGACACCCGGCTTCCTCTACAAGTTGGGGATCTGTGATCATTTGCACTGGGAGGGAGAAAGGAGGTTCTCTAGCCTTCCTATCAGTTCATATTTTGGTAGCGTGTCCCTCACATAGAGATGGCTTCCTGGTCTGACACAACTTGCCTTAAGTGGGGTGGGGAGGCATTGTTTGTCCATTTGGCTGCTGCAGACCTTTACAAGTTGGGAACCCCCTGGTTTCAGTGGAGTTCTGGTTGCGTGGTCCTTCTTCCTTACCCTTCCAAGGGGAAGATGGCCACAGGAATTATGGTGGTAGAAATTGTCATCAAGTTTCAGGTGAAGAAGAAGAGGAGATTGGTTTTATACCCCGCCTTTCACTACCTGAAGAAGTCTCAGAGCGGCTTACAATCCCTTTCCCTCCCTACAACAGGCACCCTGTGAGGTAGGTGCGGCTGAGAGAGCTCTCTCGAGGACTGCTCTTTCCAGAACAGCTCTGAAAGAACTTATGACTGACCCAAGGTCACACCAGCAGCTGAATGTGGAGGATTGGGGAATCTAACCCAGTTCTCCCAGATTAGAGTCCGCACTCCTAACCACTACACCAAACTGGTGCCTGTAGGGTGTTCAAGGCAAAAGACGAGCAGAGGTGGGTTTGCCAGTGCCTGCCTCTGCAAAGCAATCAGCACTCCGGAGCAGAGGTGCCCATCCAAGTACTAACCAGGGCCGACCTTGCTTGGTGAATATCATGTACAGAAAGGTATTTAAGCACAATGAGACTCCAGACTGTATACTACTTCTGGACCTTTCTCAGATCTGTACATGGAGATTACCAGTATTACCCTTAGGAATACATTTGATTGCAGGACATGAATCGCTGAGGGAAGCTGCTAACGTTGTAGCCCAGATCCAAACGATGAATGTATTGCATATATTTCAATCTTCCTTATTCATTTTTCCAGCCCCCTTTCTAGCTTTTTTTCCAGGGCTTTACAATTTCCAGATGGGTAGCTGTGTTAAGTGTATTGTAGTGAGACAGAACAGAAACCCAATGGCTCCTTAAAGACTAACAACATTTATTCCAGTATGAACTCTTGTGAGCTAGAGCTTGCTTCTTCAGATGCAATGGAAAAAAAAGAGAAAATCATCTTCATATTCAGAAAATTAGAGGGGGGGGGAGCTGAGCAAAGAGAACTGGTGGTCATAAATCAGGAGTGATTCTCTGTGTTAAGGACCTAAATGGCTTAGGTTGTTTATATGTAATGGATGATGAGAGAGGGCAGAGGTTCAGAGTTTCCAGAAATCCTACTAGATTGGCTGAAGTGGGCTCTAGCTTGCAAAAACGTGTGTGTGAACATAAGAACATAAGAGATGCCAATGTTGGATCAGGCCAAAGGCCCATCCAGTCCAACACTGTATCACACAGTGGCCAGAAATACCAGTGCCATCAGGAGGTCCACCAGTGGGGCCAGGACATTAGAAGCCCTCCCACTGTTGCCCCCACCCCAAGCACCAAGATGACAGAGCATCACTTGCCCCAGAGTCCCTATTTATACCTTTTGGCGAATAGCCACTGATGGACCTCTGCTCCATATGCCTATCTAATTCCCTTTTGAAGCCGTCCATGCTTGTAGCCGCCACCACTTCCTGTGGCACTTCCTGTGTGTGTGTGTGTGTGTATTAAGTCCCATCAAGTTGCTACTGACTTATGGTGATGATCCTATGAATGAACGCTCTCCCAAATGTTCTGTCGTTAACAGCGGTGCTCAGGTCTTGCAAACTGAGGGCCATGGGGCTTCCTTGGTTGATTCAATCCATCTCATGGTTGGTCTTCCTCTTTTCCTGCTGCCTTCCACTTTCCCTAGCATTAGTGTCTTTTCCAGGGACTCTTGTCTTCTCATAATGTGACCAAAGTACAATAGCCTCAGTTTAGTCATTTGAGCTTCTAGGGGGAATTCAGGCTTGATTTGGTCTAGAACCCACTTATTTGTCTTCTTGGTGGTCCACATTATCCGTAAAACTCCTCCAGCACCGCATTTCAAATGAATCAATTCTCTTCCTATCCACTTCCTTCACTGTCGAGCGTTCACACCCGTACATCGTAATGGGGAACACTACAGCTTGCAAAAGTTTATGCTTTAGTAAATCTGTTAGTCTTTAAGGTAACACAGGCTCCTTTTTTGTTTTTGGCTCCCAGAAATGTGTCAGGAATTAGGGTGGCTAGCAAAGACTAATCTCTGCTCAGCTAAAAACATTGGCTTTTAAAAAATCCTTTGAGTCATAAAAGTTACCTGTAGACAGCACAGTGGCCACTAAGTGGCATCATTCATCTCATTTTTTCCCCCTGCCTTAGTGTATGAAGACCTTTTCGTTCCTTTGCGAAATCAGTGCCCTGCTGCCATGAGCATCAGAAACAGAGATGGAAAGACGCCAGGCGACCTTTTGGGACAATCAGAAGACAGATGGGTATGAATGGTAGCGAAAGAATGTAAAGATGGGGTTGGATTTGAGGCGTTCTCCCCAAAAATTGGAAACCCTGTCCTTTTCCACAGTGCCCTCAGGAGATGTTGGAAGAGAGTGATACGGAACGCGAGGCCGACAGGGAGTGGAATCGCAAACTCCTTGGCGAATTGGAAGATGAGTATCAGGAGAACTGCTGGCGGTATGAAGGTGAAGACAAAAGTTGTTTCCTGTGTTTGAGATTCCCATAGACGGCATTCAGCTCTAACAACAAACACATGAAGCAGCCTTAGATTCAGTCGGTATCGGCTGCTCTGACTGGCAGCTGCTCTCCAGGGCCTCACGTTAGAGGTCTTCCGCATCACCTGCTACTGGTCCTTTTAAGGGGAGATGCTAGGGATTGAACCAGGGACATTTGGCGTGCAGAGCAGATGCTGTGCCACTGAGCCACAGCCCCTCTCCAGCCAGGGTGGGAATGAGCCTGGGAAATCCTCAGGCTCAAATGCTCAATGCTGGTTTTGAGTCCTCATTCCTAGACACGAAACAAACCATAGTTAGTGGGTCAGATGTAACAGCAAATCGCAGTTTGTGGCAAACCAGGAAGTTTTCCGCTCGCCAGACTGGATGATCGGAAAAGAGAGTGTTCCAAACAAAAGACTTCCAGAGCTCATTCTCACAACAACCATTCCTGTTTTTCATTACATCTGAATGCAGCCATGGGGTAGTCTGGGCTTCCTGGGGGAGGTTCAGCTAGTCACCATGGGATGTGCAAATATTAGCACAGTTTGTGTTTTGTGTATTAGCACAGTTTGTGTTTTTCCCCAAGCCAACAGCAGTCAGATATTCCAACGTTCACCGGAAGATAGCTTCTGTTATCCTTTCTTTCCAGACCAAGAGACATTTTTTTCCCTAGGCAAGTCACAGCCAATTTATGGCGACCACACTGGGTTTTCAAGGCAAGGGACATTCGGAGGTGGGTTGCCATTATCTGCCTCTGGGTACCGACCCTGGACTTCCTTGGTTGTCTCCCATCCCGATACAAGCCAGGGCTGGCCCTGCTGAGCTTCTGAGATCTGACGAGATCAGGCCAGCCTGGGCCATCCAGGTCAGGGCGGAGAAACTTTACTTGCTTTTTTAAAATACGTCGGGCTACTATAAAGCTGCGGTGGCTCAAGTGGTTAAGACGCTGAACTGCAGGCTGTGGAAGGTCGGTAGTTCGGCAGTTCGAGACCTGAGTGTGCCGCATGACGGAGTGAGCTCCCATCTCTAGTTCCAGCTCCTGCCAACCTAGCAGTTCGAAAGCAAGACATTGCAAGTAGATAAATAGGTACCACTTCAGTGGGAAGGTAACAGCGTTCCGTGCGCCTTGGTGTTTAGTCATGCTGGCCACATGACCACGGAAACGTCTTCGGACAGCGCTGGCTCTTCGGCTTTGAAACGGAGATGAGCACCGCAACCCTAGAGTCGGACTCGACTGGCTTTCGAGCAAGGGAACCTTTACCTTTACCTTTTTACTATATACGGTACAAGAGCAGGGCCAGTCATGGTCAGTGTTGAGATCAACAGCCATCCCCTGCCAAACCTAAATGCTTTAATGGATCCCCACCGCCCCATTTCAAGACGGTGGTGGAAAGTGCTGTCAAGTCGCAGCTGGGTTAACAGCACCTGTACAGAGATGTTCAGAGGTGGGTTTGCCATTGCCGGCTTCTGCCGGGAAAGTGCTGTCAAGTTGCAGCTGAGTTAACACCACCTGTACAGAGATGTTCAGAGATGGGTTTGCCATGGCCGGCTTCTGCCGTGACCCTGGACTTCCACGGTGGTCTCCCAACCAGGGCCAATCATAAGAACATAAGAACCTAACAGAAGCCCATGTTGGATCAGGCCGATGGCCCATCCAGTCCAACACTCTGTCACAGAGGCCAAAAATACCAGGTGCCTATCAGGAGGTCCATCAGTGGGGCCAGGACACTAGAAGCCCTCCCACTGTTGCCTCCCCCCCCCAAGCACCAAGAAGACAGAGCATCACTTGCCCCCAGCCTGAAAGTTCCTATCCATACCTTGTGGCTAACAGCCACCGATGGATCACCTGTTAACAGTTCCTTCAATTAACCCGCACCTATAGCTATTATCTTTCTCCTAACAGTAATGAAATTTTAAAGAGCAAGGTGCAATTACAATTGAGCATCACCAAGTGAAACTGGACCCCACAGCTTCCTGGTTCACAGCCGTCAGAAGCAAACACAGTTTGAGGACTCAGAGGAATGAGCTGTGAACTGGGAAGTCCTTGGTTCAAATCTCAAACAAGAAACTCTCAGGCAAGACCTTGAAATATAGGAATGATACCAGCCTATCATACGGGGTTGTCATCAGGTATTATCATCATTTGTAACAGACCTAATAGCCCAGACCGGCTCAATCTGGTCAGATCTTGGAAGCTAAGCAGGGTTGGTACTCAGATGGGAGACGACCGAGGAAGACTCTGCAGCAGTGTTCCCTCTAAGCTGTGGAGTCTTGTGAGCAAAAATTCTACTTGGTGAGTGACTGGCATTAAAGTTGTGAGCGAGTGATTTGGCCACTGCATAAATTGGTTTGCTCTGGAGCCATCCTTCCTGAGCTAAGATAAAAATGTGTGAGCCGGAGGCTAAAAAACTGTGAGCTAGCTCACACTAAATCAGCTTAGAGGCAACACTGCTCTGCAGAGGCAGGCGATGGCAGAACCACCTCTGCTTAATCTCTTGCCTCGGAAACCCCACAAAGTCAATACTGACCTTGTTGAACCAGGTATGGCAGCTTCATGTTTGTGCGCGTGAGTTCACGTGCGATACACCGTACCCCCTTTTAACGATCCCCTTTCTTTTCTCCGTTTTCTAGAGGATTTCTACACTACCGGCCCAGACCCAGAGACCTATGAGGATTGGGTCGATCGCATAGCCCGCGAATACAGCCAGAAACGAAGGCGAGCGGAGGGTGACCACCACCAGCGTAAGCCCAAAACCGAACTCCAAAAGCCTGCCCCGAAGCTGCAGCACCTCCTAGAAGAGGAGCATCTGCTGTACGAGAAGCGCGCCCGGACCAAAGAAGCAGAATTGAAGGCGGCTAAAAGAGCCCGTTACGAAGAAGGCTGCAGCCGGGTCTTCACCGCCGACAGTTCCCGGCCTCTGAGTTACGCAGACATTCCCTGGCCCTGCCCGAGAGGGACCGCCGAGGAAATGGCTGCGGTGGCCCTCCACGGCACGGATCCCTCAGACAGGGCGGCTTACCGGCGTTTCCTCCGGCGCCAGCAAGCTCTGTGGCATCCGGACAAGTTTGCTCAGCGCTGCGGCACACGCTTAGCCGAGCGGGATCGCCGCCGGATCTTGGACATGGTCACCGCGTTGTCCCAAGCTTTCAACCAGCTAGCCGAAGCGGCCAAGTGACACGTGTTGCCGTCCCTCCCTCCGTTGTGGGTTAATAAAGTTTTGTCTCTGAGAATGTGGGGAGGAAATGGATTGTTGGGGCAGGAAGGAACTCTGCCATTAGAAATGGCTTTTTCTGGGTGCTTCTGGGTTTCCAAAGAAGCACTGAAAGAGGAAATCAGAGCAACTTGACGGGATCAGGGGTTCACAAGAGGATCTCTTCTGTGACAACCGATGCTAAGAAGAGCGAACGGGCATTTGGGGTTTTCTGGAAAAATTTCCGGTTCAAATTTAAATAAATATAGTATTTAAATAATGCTAGCAAGGCTGTTGACAAAAAGATGTTTTGGGGGTCATTCATTCCTAGGGTCACCATAAGTCGGAAGCAGCTTGACAGCACTTAGCACAAAGCACAGCAGGAGTTAAATAGTGCAAGTGGAAGATGGCCACATTCAAGCCTGGACTGCATCCAAGCATTGAGGTTTGACCCGCATTGAGTGATGCACAAATCTGTGCCCCGTGTGTTCCTGGGGCCGAATTGGGAACACACCGCCAAGAGTCCAACGGGTTAGATACATCTGTTTATTGCAATGGAACAGGAGATACAGGGCTGAGTGTCTGTTGGCCCCCAGCGACGCCAAGCTGTATCCTGTCATAACCAGGAAGGGCGGAAAGTCTTATACCCCATATGACATCACTTATAATTTACACTTTACAGAATTCCTAATTGGCACCAGGCAGGTGGCATCACTAGAGCATCATCTGACTCGACACCTCCCCATTGGTGTTCTTTTCTGCTGGTCAGGGGTGTCAGTAATTACGTTAGCTTACTTTAGCTTATCTGGTCCTCCGGACAATGGAAAACACTAAGGAATGGTGGGACCCTTTCTGTCCCCAGCGAGGCTAGCTTCCCTCCGCCTCGCTTTGGGGAGCTGGCTGATAAAGCGCCAATGATTCACATTAAATTTGGGTCTTGGCAGGCTTCCTGGTACCAGATGCTCCTGCTATACAAAGAGAATATTTTGTTTAGGGAACACTTCCAGCGCGAAGTGTCCTTGTCGCCTCTAGATATGCATTCCATTCTACTGCTGTCTAATTCCTCTAATAATACTTATTTCCAAGTATAACTTCTTATAAAGGTGATATAGTTAGAGAATATGTATATTCTACTATAGATTTCTCTCATCGGACGTTTCTAGGTTACATACCAAAATCTGAATCTACTATGATTAAACTTTTAGAGGCACAGTGACAGCTGTCAATATATATATATATATGCCACTATCGTACCATCATTATTAACTGGCTCTGGGAAGAGAGAACGACAGTGCCACGTGGAACTGATGGCACTGATTGGATGTACCATCTTAGACATGCCATCTTGATGAAAGGTTTTGTTTAGAACATCTAGAGCACTTAATATGTTGTAATTTTGTAATAATGGTTTTTAGGGGTGTTTTTTTTTAAAAGTACCCATAAGGTACACTTTTATTATTTTTCATATTATACACCAACAAACAAACATACTACATAACATACATCCACTTACACACATAAAACATACAAAGAGATCAGTAGATTATCTTATAACTCTATTACCATATTTAAAGAATTTCTATAAGTTTGCTTAAGTTTCTGTACACTCTCATCTTTTTACCATAGTTTCTATTTAACTAAAAAAGATTAATAATACCAAAAATTTCATTACTTTAAGCTGTGCATTTATATTGTACCAATCATACAGTTTTTCCCCACGTCTTTTGAAATGTTGGGTCTGTTGTCCCTCTCATCAACAATGACAATTTGTCATTTTCAGCCGTCTCCAGCAGTTTCTTCACATATTCTTGCTTCTTTGGTGTTTCCATTTGTTTCCAATATTTTGCATATAATATTCTTGCTGCAGTATGTGTTGGTGTATGCCTATTTGTGAGCCGCCCTGAGCCCGCATTGCAGGGAGGGAGGGCTATAAATTGAAATTATAAATGAATAAATATAAATATGTCAGAGAAAATGTCAAAAATCACATTCAGAAATCACGCCCACTTGGTCCCTTATCCTACATTGAGCATCTGAGCATTGAAGTTTGTCTATGCTTCGTATCCCCCATTTAGCCTATGTAATAGAACAAAGTTGGAGTCCAGTGGCACCTTTAAGACCAACAGAGTTTAATTTGAGAGCCAGTTTGGTGTAGTGGTTAAGTGCGCGGACTCTAATCTGGGAGAACCAGGTATGATTCCCCACTCCTGCACTTGCACCTGGCTGGATGACCTTGGGCAAGCCGTAGCTCTGTCAGAGCTGTTCTCTCAAGGACAGTTCTCTCAGAGCTCTCTCAGCCCCGCCTTCCTCACAGGGTGTCTGTTGTGGGGAGGGGAAAGGAAAGGAGTTTATCAGCCGCTCTGAGACTCAGTGAAGGGTGGGGTATAAACCCAATCTCCTCCTCTTCCTCCTTTTCTCTCTCTCCTGGGTATAAGCTTTCATGGGCATGCCCACGAAAGGTTATACCCATAATTAAACTTTTGTTGGCCTTAAAGGCGCCACTGGACTCAAACTTTGTTCTGTTGCTTCAGACCAACTCAGCCCCCCACCTGAATCTAGCCTATGTATCGCGATAGGTTTTCATTACAACAGCCTTGACTGCTATAGATAGAACCTGTTTACATATGGGGGTGGGTGGGAAGCTGCTTTAGACAGATTCAGGTATATCAAACTTAGTGCTGTCTGTGGTGGCTGGCAGCTAAGGTTGCCAGTCCCTGGTTGGGAAAGACCTGTAGATTTTGGAGGTGGAGGCTGGGGAGGGGAGGGAACTTAGCAGGGTCCAATGCCACAGAGTCCACCCTCCAAAACAGGCATTTTCTCTAGGGGAACAGACCTCGGTCGTCTGGAGATCCGTTGTAATAGCAGATCTCCAGGCCCCACCTGGAGGTTGGCAGCCCTACTGGAGGCAAAACTCTCAGGTCGAGGACTTTCTCATCACCTATGATTTGACCCTTTCGAAAGCGGAGGTTCCAGGGACGGGACCTGTGACTTGCATACAAAGGAGGGGACCTGCTGCCGAGCCAGCCCCCTTGCCGCGACTGGTCTTGCTGCTTCATTGGAAAATCAGAAGGTGCGTGCGTAACATACATCCCTTGCTGCCTCGAATGTAGGAGATCATCTGTTTATCCTGCCAATCCTTCAAACGGATAAAGATGGTGTCAATAGTACCCTTTCTCCATTTCCCCCTTGCAGCAGCCCTGTGAAGTAGGGTAGGCACAGACAGAGCGACCGGCCCAACGTCACCCAGCAAGGTTCATGGCAGAGTGGGGATTCAGACTGAGAGCCAGGGTGGTGTAGTGGTTAAGAACACAAGAACATAAGAGAGGCCAATGTTGGATCAGGCCAATGCCCCCATCCAGTCCAACACTCTGTCACACAGTGTCCAAAAATACCAGGGGCCGTCAGGATGTCCAGCAGTGGGGCCAGTGGTTAAGAGCACCTCCCAGGCACTGTCACTGCTGCCAGGCACAAAGGTAGGGAAAAAAGAGGGAAGGAGAAAGAAGAAGAAGAGGAGATTGGATTTATACCCTCCCCTTCACTACAGCTGATGAACTCCTTTCCCTTCCCCTCCGCACAACAGACACCCTGTGAGGTAGGTGGGGCTGAGAGAACAGCTCTGACAGCACTATTGCTTGCCCAAGGTCATCCAGCAGGTGCAAGTGGAGGAGTGGAGAATCAAACCTGGTTCTCCCAGATTAGAGTCCGCACACTTAACCGCTACACCAAACCAAGAGGGTGGCAAATGAAAATGGTGGTCAGCATGTATCTCTTCTCTGACCCACTAGGTGGCAAGCCTGAGCAACCCATCAGCATGGAAGTCCCTTCAAGCGTTCCTGTGGCCCCAGATGTCCAAGCGACTTCTGCAGGCTTCCAAACCAAGGAGGCCACCTCCAGCACATGACAGAGCCCTCAGACTGCAGGTATTCAAAGACAGAGAATGGGATGGTTGCCGGTTCATGAACCTTTTGGTTATATTTTTATGGTGGCTGTGCAAATATGTTCTCAGGTGTGGTCACCCAACCTCTGTGTTTCTGTTTCTGCTTCACCGCACCCACATCCCTTTTCCCAGAAGTGCTCTTGCACAGCTCCTGTACATTTCTCTGAGATTTGTGTAGGAAGATTTCCCAGTGGATTGTGCCCTTGGGTGGGGTCTGTTGTTTCCTTGCACAGCCTGTGCGTAATGAGGCCTCAATTTGACTAACAGCGAGGCCACATAAAACCCGCAGTAGGAGGATTTGGGGCATTGTTCATGGAGGCAGAAGAGATCAGAGTTGCCCGATCTGGGTTGGGAAATTCCTTAGGGATGCCACTTGAAACTAACCTTGGGCCAGTCATTTCCTCAGAGCCAAACCCCCCCCCCCGGGGGCTGTTGTTGTGAAGATAAAATGGACGAGGGAACAGCAGTATTGCAAGGCGCTGGGTGTGGGAAGAAAAGCTGGGTGTGAGTATCTCCATCCATCAAGAAGACTCAGCAAAGCCGTTGGCATCCTGAGAAGCAAACCAAAGAAGTGACCTCTGCTCAATCAAACCATGGGTCCTGTTACTTAGCAGTAGGGACAAACAAGTAACAAAAATGACAATGCGGAAGAGCCCAGAGTCGGG